GGCTCCCACTAGTTGTTTTATTAAACGCTGGCTTCCAATCATACTACTGACTTTGACATTCCTAATCTTGACATGCTTACCCTAACAGCTCCTTGTGAAATGTGAAATACAGTGAAAAGATCAGTGGTTTAAAACTTTAATGAGTGTTGTTCGGAATAAAAACCAGTGACACTCGCTCCTTAATTTCCCCTCACATTTATTAAAGTGAGGCGAAGTTCGTTTGATGAATAAAATGTTTATGGTCTATACTTTTTCAACCGAACTTGATGTGTTAGGTAGTATTCTTGTTCATTTACTAACTAACTCCACTGTTTATCCATTTGCACAATATTATCACTTCATTTGTATGTACTCTGTCTAGGTTTTCTATTTTGCTAAAACTTGTCTTCTTAGTGAGTAAACTATGTCAGTCAGTCAGCTACAACGTAGGACCAGGCACATATATGCATCGGTCCAAGTTGCCATACCTCTTTAGCACAACAAGATGAACACCGGATTCATAGAAGCAATTAATTTAGTGATGGTAGTATATAAAGAAAGATTGTATAGAAGGATATAGTACAGGAAGGAAGAGAGATATGAAGCAATTTTAATCTCAAGGTTTAAGGGAAGATAAAGAGTGTATACACCTACGCCATTGTGATCGATTCTGAGCCATGTCACCTAGAGTCTCCAACCATTTATTACGATAGTCACGCGGACCCCAACCAGGTAGTCTGCATCTGCCAACATGGCTCAGGCTAGAAGTTAGTGACTTCAAACACTGATGCCATGTTTTGGTTTGGCCGCCCCTAACTCTCTTCCAACCGTCCCCAATACTAGTCATCATAGCGCGTCGTGGTAATCGGTGTTCAGGCATACGTAACACATGGCCCAACCATCTCAGTCGATGAAGATTTATCACCTCATCAACTGATTTACCATCGTTACCTAATACCCTGCGTCTAACCTCACTATTACTTACTCGGTGATCCCAGCAGATGCGAGCAATATTTCTAAGGCATCTGTGGTCAAATACTAGTAACCTACGAGTATCTTCTACTCTTAATGGCCATGTTTCGCAGCCGTAGAGTAGAACAGAGCGAACTGCTGCGCAGTATACTCGTCCCTTAATTGATAGATGGATATCTCGTCTTCGCCATAGGTGACGTAAGTTGGCAAAAGCCAAACGAGCTTTTCGAACCCGTGCTGAGATTTCGTCAGACACCAACCCATTAGGGCTGATCAGACTTCCAAGATAAGTGAAGTTGTCAACGCGTTCGACTACTTCACTCCCTATCCTTAGTTCGAGTGTTGACGCAGGCCAGTCCTGGAGTAACAATTTACATTTGGATGGGGAGAAACGCATCCCAAACATCCTGGCATTATTACTCAGTTCCAACAGAAGACTCTGCATTTTGTCAGCGTCTTCACCAAACAGGACTATGTCATCTGCGTATTCTAAGTCGCTTAGTGGTCCCCCTGGTAGGAGATCAATTCCTGTAAACTCAGTCGAAGAGAGTGTTATTTCCAGCAACAGGTCTATAATGAAGTTAAACAAAAATGGGGATAGTGGACAGCCTTGACGGACACCACTTGAGGTTGTAAAATCATATGACAGTTCGCCATAAGCTCTCACTCGACTGATAGTGTTCGAGTAAAGAGCCTTCACAAGGTTTATGTACTTCTCAGGTACACCTTTCAATGACAGACACTGCCACAGAACCTCTCGGTCTACAGAGTCAAATGCTGCTTTCAAGTCAAGAAAAACTATCATTGTCGGACGCCGATAAGCATGTCTGTGCTCTAAAACTTGACGAATGGTGAATATGTGGTCGATACAGCCACGACCAGGTCTGAAGCCAGCCTGATTTTCTCGTGTTTGCAGTTCACGAGTCTTAGTTAGGCGCCTGATAATTATTGAGGCTAGTATTTTAGATACTATGTTAGTCAGACTAATCCCTCTATGGTTATCGCAGGATGATTTTGACCCCTTTTTATATATTGGGACAATCAGTGATTGTGACCAGTCGGATGGGATTACATCCGTCTCCCAGATTTTAGCCAGAATATTAGTCAACCTAATCGCTAAAATTGGACCACCATATTTAAAGACCTCTGGAGCCAATCCATCAGGACCAGCTGCTCTTCCTCGTTTCAGATTACCTATAGCCTTTTGAACTTCAAGTAGGGTCGGGGGGCCTACTTCAATGTTCCATTCAGGTTTTCTAGGAATAGTGGGTAGTTGTGCAGTAGCTGAAGGCCAGCTAAACTGCTCCTTAAAGTGTTCCGCCCATCGTTCTAAACGTTTGGGTAGAGAGCAGATAAGGGTTCCATCTTTTTCCGAGATCGTCTCACTTACACTTGACTTCTTAATTCCAGTTTCTTTTATTAGTCTGAATAGTTGCCTGGTGTTGCCTACAGCCGCTGCCTTTTCCATCTCTTTTGCTTTCGTTGCCCACCACTGCTCACGATCGTTCCTTAGACTTTTAGTTAACCTAGATCTAATTTCTTTACGCTCTTCGTCATGTTCAGAGCCTGATGGTATGAGTTTACGCGAATCCATCAGTGAAATAGACCTAGAAGAAATCCACTGGTTTTTTGGAACCCTATGGTTTAAATGACTAATAGATGTTACTGCTGTCTCCACAGCTGTTCGTATGCCTTTCCAAGCAGCATCTGGGTCAGTCTCGTTTACAGAACTGCCTAGATGTGAACTCAGTTGTCTCTGGAATTCACATTTGGCTTTCTCGTCCTCCAGTTCAATCCTAACGGGTCTTCTTAGTTTACTTTTCCTGCGTCCATTGAGGCGCAGACAAATGCATGCTCGTATTAAAGCGTGATCAGAGTCTAAACAAGTATTCCAATACGAGCGACAATCTTCTATTGAGCCTCTCCAACGATGACTGATGACAATATGGTCTATTTGAGTCCATCGTTGGTTTGGTGCAGGTGGTCGCCATGTTAGACGATGTCTCTCCTTATGTTTAAAATTAGTGCTTGCCAAAAATAAACGATTGTCTGAGCATAGTTGCAACAGACGATCACCATTATCGGTTCGTTGAGCCGGAATACTAAAACACCCACCTAGATGTCTTTCTGTTTGATTCAAGCTGCCTACCTGGGCATTAAAGTCACCCGCTACGACTACTATGTCTGAGCGCTTAGCTTTCTGAAGAAGCTCAGAGAGCTTTCTGTAAAAGTCATCTTTCACCTCATCATGGCTGCAGTCAGTGGGAGCGTAGGCAGAAACGACGAAAAGGCAACGACGTGTGTCCCTATCCTTCCGAGTTCTTACGGAGCCATTTAGCCGGACAGCACACAGGCGACTGTCAACGGGGATCCACTCTAGTAGTGCCTGTTCTGCCCTTGTACTTAGTGCTATACCTACACCTGCAAGTCCACGAGAACTAGCCAACGGATCGCCAGATACACGGAGGGTGTATTTCGTTGGCTGTCCATTTTGGCGAGGTGAGGTCAGGTGAATGACCACACTAGGATCCTGTATGCGTGTTTCGGAGACACAGCATACATCAATGGTACGCGACTCTAAGGTTTTAGCTAAGGAGGCCTGTTGACCGATTTGACTTAAAGTACGTACGTTGAAGGCTCCAATGTGTAGTTTGGAGCGAGGTTTTAGTAGACCTGGGACAGCGTTTCGCGCACTAGAATCGTTGGCCATGGTGACACTTGAGGAGGAAACCGAGAGAGGAAGTTTAGTGTTGAAAGTCAAGGTAGTAGGAATTGAAGAAGGAGATTGATTATGAATACAGTGGTCTTGAGTGTTGTTAGAGGTATGAGGGCAGTTATCACTTCCCGGTTGCCCACACCGTGGAAGGATTCTTCTAGAGGTACCTGAAAAGGAAATTGGGTTAGAAGTGGTCTTAATGACCGGAGAGCGTGACCGCAGTGCCCAAGGGACAACTGCTTGAGGTCGGTCACACACGACCTTTTTGTGGGTAGTTTTTGTGTTAGCTCCGTTCTTCAAAAAAAACCTTACCGCCGGAGACGGATATCCGTGGGATAAGGCGAGGTGTGCATTTTTAGGGTCGACCTTTTCTAACCCCACCCCTCCTTGTGGGAAGGCAGCATCGCTGTCATGCTGGTTGTCTGAAGGAAACACCTTACTGCTTTCACACCTCTGTACAGTCAGCAGTACGACTTCGCCTTCGGACCTTGGGTTTGCTGCTTTTAGTCTCACCGCTCTTCAATCGACCTGTCTGGCATGGTAGGACCTCGAGGAACGATTGTTCCAGCCAGCATAGCTCGATTGCTTCATCACGATAGGCAAGCCCGACCACCACGTCAAGGTAGCAGCAACGGTACCTAAATGTACCTAAATTAGCTTGAGGTGTTGGATTAACTTATGTCATATAACGACATTGTTAGTGCCTAGTTATCCTGAGTGTAGATATGGTAAAACAAGTCACAAATCTTTCAGTTTCCTACTTGGCATTCAGTCAGTCAGTTACAACTTAGGACCAGGCACATATATGCATCAGTCATCATTCTTTAATACCCTGTGTCTAACCTCACTATTACTTACCCAGTGAACCCAGCAGATGCTGGCAGTATTTCTAAAACATCTGTGATCAAATAATAGTAACTTGCATGTATCTTCTACTCTTAATGGTCACATTTTGCAGTTGTATAGTTGAAAGTAACGAACCGCCGTGCAGTATGCTTGTCTTTTCATTGATAGATGGATATCTCGTCTTCGCCAACCAGGGAGTCGTGAAGGACCAACAAAAGCTAGCCCTTTGCAGCTCTCTTTCATGCCACGACACCATGTCATACACTGACCAATATAGGTAATGTAAGTTGGCAAAAGCCAAAAGAGCTTTTTGAATCCGTGCAGACATCAACCCATTAGGGCTGATCAGACTTCAAAGATAAGTGAAGTTGTAGACGCGTTCGACTACTTCACTCCCTATCCTTAGTTCAGGTGTTAAAGTAGACCAGTTATTGAAACACTTTTTGCATTTAAAAGAGGAGAAACGCACCCCAAATATCCTGGCATTGTTGCTCAGTGCTACCAAAAGACTACATTTTACCAGCTTCTTTACCAAGCAGGACTATATCATCTGCGTATTCAAAGTCAATAAGCGGACCTCCTTGAAGGAGACCAATTCCTGAAAATTCAGTCGATAAGGACATTATTCCCAGCAATAGGTTTATGGTGAGATTAAACAAAAATGGAAATTGTGGACAGTCTTGCCGGATACCTCTTGAGGTTGCAAATCACATAATAGTCCGCAATAATTACATTACTGCAGTAACCGTAAACAACACTTTAATCGAACAATCTTTTTAAAGTAGAAAAGCTAATAGTTTTATATCATAAAAACTGTATTTATACTTTATTTGTGCGTTTCATTTCCAGACCTTCAAATCATGAAATCTGAACCTGGTAACCATGATCCTGCCAACAACACTGTTCAATCCTTGAATTCTAAAGAGAATAAAATTGATGTTCAGAAAAATAATATCACGAGGATGAGCTATACTGAATTTTTAACTAGTTTGAAAAATGGTTTATGTGTTGATGGAAGGTGTGATTCAGACGCCAATATTCAAAATAAATTCCACGAATCGCTGAGTAAATCCATCGATCTTCATGTGAAAGCAAATGAACATGTTTGTAATACTGGAGTCGCTATTGCTGAAGATTTTTCAAACACAGTTCCTTTGTGTAATCCAAAAGTCGAGTTTTCATGTACTCGAAGTTCTGAAGATAGTTTAATTGTTATGCCTGATATAATAACAGAAGCATTAGTTTGCTCAGAACCCAATATGCAGCAGTCCTGTTTTTCTGGGCTTAGTCAATCTCCAAGTCAAACAAAACAAGTAACATGATATTAAGAAATGAGTATTAGCATTTTAGAAAATGGCTGGTATTTATCTGTCGAAAACTATTGATTCTGATACATGTCTTAGGAAGATTGTGGATGATCATCCAAACTTTCCGATCTTTGAATGTTTTCAAAAGTTTCAGTCTTCCACCACTGGCTGCACTAAGTCAAGGCAGATTCCATCAGGTAAGCTTAATTTGTAATCATTTGTTAGTAATATCAGCTTCTTAATCATTAGTCATCATGATCCATGAAACCTAGAAATACCAGTTGGTGTGATATACGTCTAAGGAATTCCAACTCTTTTTATAGCTTTTAACTATTGATCAAGTTTCTGCGTAATTTTAGCAGTAAGAGGTATTCGTCGTTAAATTGATACAGTCGAGGAAACTAGACTGCGTAAGAAAACAATGTACTAACCTCTGTGAGAAATGAGTGGATATATTTAAAAAGTTTAGGCATAGGCTTTAGAATAGACCATTGAAATTGTACATTGAAGAGACCAAATTAGCTTTTCTGCCCTAGACTTAAAATGTTCGAAATCGCTACTTTAAATGCTTGTTCCAACTTACTCTGATCAAATTTTCTGAGAAGTAGAACATTTCCAAACATAAGCTTCCGAATGCCCTGGTACGGCCGAGGGTGTGGAGAGTCAACTCCCCCTCTCGAGATGCCCTCACATGGCCACGCGTATACAACCACTGCCAGGGAAGTCCTACTCACTGCCCTCCTGCGGCGGGGGTGTTGTTTACGAAATTGAGAGGACGAAAAGCGAATGTCCTGCTGTTTAGCCGGGTTGGTGGATATGGAAGATCCACCTAGGAGAGTTGGAAAACTCTGATCCCAAATTAATGCTGCACATGGGCTCCAGGATCCTAAGAAAACAAATGGTGTATGAACTAACTGTTGGTCACCGGCTACCATGTGACTGCATCTCCTTACTTTGATCCACTCCCATCTGGACCATACCTTTAGGTCGAAGGCTCGGGGTGTGGTGTCCTAAGAAAACCACCTACTTCGGTTTGAGCACCCGGGTAATATCTCGACTCACATAAATCGAATGATTTATGTTGCGCATATCTATTTAGTGCTTCCTTGTACCAATTTTTATGTTTAAATAATAATAATAGTCCAAACATGAATTTAAACAGACTCTGACAGGTTTATATCTTTTTTATGTTTAGCTTCAAATGAGTCATTATTGTGGGTGGACAAGTACATGCCGTCAAGTTGCTCTTCCTTTTTAAACACTTGTCCTGGTATAATAAAACTTCTTATGTGGTTAAAGAAATGGAAATATAAAAATTCCAAAGTAGAAAATTCAATGGAGCCTTCCTTGAGTAAGAATAAAACTACCAAGTCTACAAAAAGTAAGTCTTAAATTTTAAATGTAGTTTCTTGCCAGTATGGTTGTGATCAGATAAACGTTTTCCCTTCTAAATTACACTAAATATGTCAACTATCGTACTACTTGGTTTTGTGTATATTCAGTATAACTGCTGTTCTCATGGTTTCATTAGGATTACTTCTTAATTCACATCTGAAGCTTAATAGACTTCGTGGATCTAAGTTCCAGGTTGGGTAAATCATGTTAAAAGGGTGGTCTAGTGTAGTATGACAGAAACTTTACCTGGTTTCATATGTGAGACGATTGTGAATAATATTGATGATTTATTTTAATCACAAGTGTTGTTTCAATAACTCATCCTTTTGTGAGATGTATCAATGTCTCCAAACAACTAAATTAGGTCGAGTAAACTACTTGAATATTATTGTAGTACCGATCAAATGCTCTCACATATACAGTTGAAATTTATATTATTGCTTAATAAAATAGTTATCCATTACATAATAATAATCTATTGTCAAGTAACAATATTAGTGTCCTCAACGTTTGAGTACCACTGCTTAATATCTATGTATTCTTTGAGAAAATTGTATTATACAGTTTAGAATTGGTTTCAAATTTCGAGCAACTGTAGTCACATCTAACACCACAGAGTTATTTAGAATACTTAAACCTTGAAGATTTCAATGATTTTTCATGGTGTTTATGCTTATGGTAGTTCCATGGTCCAATAATGTGAGACTATTTTGTAGTATATTACTACTTATTGCATTATTTGGTTGTATAAACTCCATGAATCAAGTCATAGAAAAGGTAAATTATTTTAGATACCTATGACTCAACAATATTACTAGTTGTTAGTACTGAAAACTTCTTGTTACGATTTTGAAACTCATATCTTTTTAAATTACTTATTATCGACCACCTCCCTTATTCTTCTTTTTCAAAGAAAGGCTTCGATCAAGCCCTCGTTATTCTAGTGATGAAGACTTTGTTGTAAAGTCACCAGCACATAAACGCCATAAGTATAACGTTCATGTTCCTGGTTCAGTTGAAAACATTAATGAGAATCCAACCTTAAATTTACCCATTGGATACATCCGAAATCAAATAGACGTTTCTAGCTCCAGCAGTTCAGATGAGGATAATTCAACTGAAAGTGATGAAGAACATAATGGTAATCCTAACAAACGACGTTTTCGAACAAATTGGCAGTCCAAGGCTTTCCTGTTAGTAGGACCTCATGGAACAGGCAAATCTGCATTAATTTATGCACTAGCTAAAGATCTAGGCTTTAAAGTAGTTTGAATAATTGATTTTATTTATGAATACTGTTATTTTCATAGATATTTGAATTAAATCCTTCAAGTAGACGGTCCGGTAAAGATATCATATCTCAGTTCCATACTGCACTTGGATCACATCATGTTGCTAAAGATTATCTGTCCACTAGTTTTAGTACATTCCAAATGATAAGTAAGTTGTTTAGTTACTTCTTATAGAAATCACAATATTTAAGCATCATCATCTCTTACTAAAAATAATTCAGAAACGATCCGCAAGTCTGCAGCCAATTTCTTCAAACCAGTGCCTAAGAAGAATGTTTCATCCAAGAAAAATACTTCTTCCACTAAAGGTACCTTGATCGTGATCATTTACTTATCAATCTTATTGTTGTAGATTCGGAAAGCTTAAACTTAAATTGCAATTCAATAGTACTATTTGATGAGGTGAGTGTATCTATACCCTAAATTTTTTCCACCTATCCGGAATAAAACTGTTCACTCCACTAATCTATAATTTGTTCTTGAATCGTATCTTCGATGCACAATCTTTTCTATTACCACTAATGCTGTTACTACCCCGTTATAATTTGCGATTCACCCTGACAACTTCATCTTGCTATGTTAATGGAGTGTGGTAATTTCAACCAATATACACATATCCCATGTTCTATAATGCGTATCATCAATTGACAAATGAAATTCGCTGATCAATCGCACTTTTTCAACCATACAGATATTCTGCTTTTAAGATTAAATCATGTAAATTAAATTGCAATAAAATACTTGACAACTGGAATACAGATAATCATAACCAGTGTTTATCAATGTTATAACGCGAAATATAGCGTATTGCGATAGGACTACGCGAAATTCTACCGATTGACCAAATTCAGATATCCTAGTTCGACCCCAATACTGTTTCCCAATTTCAATAAATCAGAACACAGCCGTTAAATGAGAATTGTTTATGGGGTCAGCAGCAGAACAACAATGGTTTACAGACAAGGCATATTTATACAGTTACGATGACTATTAACAGTACCTAATAGAAAGAAAGGACACGTAAAGGTTATAATTAGGACGACTCAAAATTGACCAATAGGGAAACGACACATGAAAGTCATAGTTAGGACACTGTAAATAATGGCCAATAGGAAATAACATGCGAATTATGTGAAGAGTCTGAAAACATACCATTTTACATTCGAGATAATTTTTGGGATATTCTTGTGAATATCCTAACAATCAATATGAGTTTTTTACGTCTTTCAAAATAAGTTGAAAATTCGATTATACATATGATTCACTACACTAAACAATAAATACTTGTTTTCAACTTCAATCCTCCCATTAAAAGCTGCTCAGGTTCAAAGATATAATAACTTATATTATGTGAAGAAAAGTGTCTTACAATTCGTGTGCATATATTCGAAACTACTGACATCATTTGAAGACCTCCAGCATCCGAAACCTGTTCTGAATAACTGCAAGTTATTCGACATCTCAGTCAGTCAACTACAACGCAGAACCAGGCACATATATGCATCGGTTCAAGTTGACACACCTCATTAGCACAACAAGATGAACACCATATTCATAGAAGTAGTTACCTCAATGGTAGTAATATATAAAGGAAAAATTGTGTATAAAGATATGATATAGGAACATTTAATATCAACAATGGGAAACTGAACATCCATAATCCTTCCTATTTATATTCAATCTTTTTTATATACGATTTAAATTTGTTGATTAGACCACATCACTCTAAAGGATACAGTTTTTTATGAGCTCTCATCATGTGAATTTCTTAATTTCGCTAATGACGCTTTCATCCTAAGCCTCAAGTAATTACGCCTTTCAACTTCCAAGGTTCACGTTGAGTTGAGGTCAAGGTAAATTTTAAGTCTTAATGGTCTGGTATTTATGCCATTCTCCCAGCCCTGTTCTCAGTCCTACAATGGAAATCAGCAATCAGTAGTGCCATTGTACATGTATTGTGAACACTTATAGTTTATATTCACTGATTATCAGACCGCAACGCATCACAAACATGCTTTACATACAATCATGGCAGAAGTGGGAGAGAAATGTATGTAAGAAATTAATATTAGTTGAGAACTGGTAAATTGTCTAACAACGGTTAGTAGGCCTAGCAGACGCTTAGAACACAGGGAACGTAGAGATACAATAACCCAATTATCTAATAACTGTACAATAAAAATATGAATGATAATAATATGCAAAATAGTCACGAACATTCCAGTGTCTTCTGTACTCCCTCCATTACAACAAAACCCATAGCAATTAATGATTTATCTGAATCAATTTATTCGTCATACTTTTTCTGAACCTATATTAACCAGAAAAAGGTTATTTATTCTCTGAGGAAGCAACTAGGTAAAGCGTAGAAAATCAATTGTTTACTGATAGAAGTATTATAAATTTATTGTTGTCAGTATGGGGTTTTTGGGAATTCCGTTAATCAATTGTTTTTCTATCTCAGGTGGATGTACTTTTTGAAAGTGATCGAGGCTTTTGGTCTGGTCTAAGTAGTTTACTTCAACTTGCTCGTCGTCCAGTTATACTTACCGCTTCAGACTCTTCTATAGTTCACAATCTACCAGTCCCAGCTTATATTTGTCACTTCACATCAGCCTCATTGGTAAGTGGAATTTTACTTAATATGATTTTATCAGTTAAGTTTATAACTACACTCTAAAATATCATAAGAGCATTCGAAATAGATGATTTCACACCGATCAATTACTGAATAGTAACAAAATGCATCATTAGCAATATTAAAAAGTTCATATAATAAAGGTTAAGAAAAAATTGTATCCTTTAATGTGATTAGATCTAATCCACAAATTAAAATCGTATATAAAAAGATTGAATATAAACAGGAATGACTTTGTTAATTATTCGCTTATCAGCCTTGACTGTTTTATATGAACGTATGTGTGTGCACATCATATCCTATTCGTCACATGCCTGTAACTTATTTTGTTCGGCTATAAATATCGATTAACGCTTGATTAAATAGTGTTATCTCATTCACCTTCTCCACTGCGCGTCATTTGGCTTCGCTTCCTTTACTCCGTTTCTCTGATTGTCAACGATAGTACAAAATATACGTATTCGAACTGCATTCTCGTATTTGACTTATTTAATCCCGTTATTCACCAAAGCGACTTAAGTCGATAATTATATACGAGGATAGCCAGGATGTATATTTTGACAGCAATCACTTGATAATAAGCAGCAAAGGATCTATCTCGAGTCATATCCAGGGCCACTAAAATCTTTAAACTTGGTGTTATGTTCACTGTCAGTTAGATAGGGGAAAAGATAACACCGTTTATAGACTTTGTGACACCTTTAACCAACCATGTTTCTTTAATATTCTGTGAGGACTTGTAAGTTATATTTTTATTAATTACTAATGACTCATTGACTTGGGCATTTGAGTATCAACCGATCAGTGGGTCACTAGTTATATGAAGCCTTGTAGTATTCATCCACCTTCATTCAATATATGTATATTATGACTTGGTACATGAAGCTGCAAATGGTTTTCGAGCTACATTATCACTTTTGAAATACTACTGTACAATAGCTATCTATGGTTTAGTTGGTTAACATATTTGTTAATAGCTAGTTACAAAAGTGAGCTAGTCGTACTGTTATTAGTAAAAATGGAGAATCTCTGAATGTTCTATTTCTTAAGTAATATCTGTTCTAGTTTTTTACCATTAATCTCTTTATTCTATCACTTCGATTTTGTTACGAGTCAGCAGTTATCTTGAATCTGTTTCCTCTGTACTATATCTCCAGCCTAGTATGCTTTATTTTACTGTAGGTTGTTGGTTAAAGAATTCATCTTTCATTCAGTGGTTTTTAGGCTTAAATCCTACTCCGCCTACTTCAGTATGCATTATTAATATAATTAATTATTTATATTAATAACTACCTGAAAAATGGTTCAACCAAGTATGCTAATTTATTCACGCATTAATTGTATTAACTTGTATATTGTTTACATTTTTCAATGTATTAAATTTAAGAAAGTCAGGGTTGCAAGTTGAGGTTATTGATCGTTGAGATTGTGTATCACATGTCCCAATCATCTCAGTCAATTTAGATTTACAACCTTAGCCCATTTAACATTGTTACCTCGTTTAATGCGTGTAATATCATCAGTGCTCAATCGACCATTTCAATATAGGCGAACTATGCTTCGACTACATACAGTCTACACATATCTTCTACTTACATAGATTATTTTTCACATCTGTGCAGAGCGAACTCCAGTGTAATGCACTTGCGTTTTGGTCATCAGATGGAAGTCTTGCTTACATCCCAAATGAGCACAAGCTGGTAAAATCCAGATGGGACTCATGGATTCATGCCAAGGCTATGTAGGAATAAAACGTAAGGATAGTGATTCTGATTCGAGTTTAAACTTTACTGAAAAATAATACATTTTTTTAAATATAACATTTTCTCAATTAGAAATATCTATCCTTTACTCTTACTTTTTATTGAAGGAATTAGTTGTTCCATATATTCGCGTCCTGTGTTTAAATGAAGGTTATAATTTAGATGTACAAACTGCAAATTCATTAATTAAAAGTATTCAGTCTCCTAATTTAACTATTGATAAACTGTCATCTGAACATTGTGACCTTCGGAGACTTATTAATGAACTACAATGGTTTTGTACCAGTGCTTCTCATGAGGAGGCAAACAGAAAATATAATCATATAAAAAATGAAAATGTAAGTGGTTTTGATTTTTTTGCAATGTGTGTTTGTTTCAAATATTGCGTTTATTCAAACATTAGTAATGTATGCTTATAGTTCTTTATCAAGTAATTGAAACGATATCGATAGGAGTAACTTATGGACTTAGATATCATATTATGTTAACGTCTATATAAGTAAATCATTTTCGCTATCTTGAGATGGTGCAAAATAACAGTCACAGTTGCATATTTTACTGTTGAATTATTGTGGTTGGTCAATTAGTGATAATGTTCACAAATATCTAGTTCTTAGTGTAATAGTTCAGTGTTTAAGGCGTTTCATTTTCAACCACTGAATCTTAGGTTTGAACTCCACTATACCTACTTCATTTTGAGCATTTAAGTAGCCTTTACACAGCTAGCATCTGACCCCATAACCAAGTATACAGAATTGTGCATGGTAAATAAGTTGGTAAATAGATCGATCCGTCCTTAGGGTTGCTTAAATCATACCACCTAAATAGTCTTTCTCTATAAAATGAAATACCGATAATTGTAAATATTACTGTTGTATTCATTTTTGTATTGGTTGTTTGAATCCTCCCATTGATGTTTAGGATTGCAATTGATCAGTCTCTTATTGGCATATATGCATCCTGTGCGGATTGCCTCTATATTGCCTTGAGTAACAAGAATTTTCAGCAGAGATGATGGTGGCTAGGACGCGCGTTTCGTCCTATCTGGGTTTTGTCAGCTTGATGTACCTGCATCCCAGATTTGATTTTCACTCCGGGACTGTTCGCTTCAAACGCCGTCGAGTTATCCTTTTAGCTACTGTGTCCAGATGGTCACTAACTTGTGCAGTGGTGCGAAGTTTAGTTCATTTTGTATTGGTTGTTTAAATCCTCCCATTGATGTTTATGATTGCAATTGATCAGTCTCTTATTGGCTTGTGTTCATCCTGTTCACGCGATAGCATTTGAAGCGAACAGTACTAGATTAGGTCCCTGGAGTGAACGTCAAATTCGGGATACAAGTGCAACCAACTGATGAGTCCCAAATAGAACGAAACACGCATCCTGTATTCCACTACTAGCCACCATCATCTCTGCTTATAATTACTGTTGTATGTTTTTCATAGTTTTTGTGTTTGTGGACGATTTATAAAAATAGAAAATGAATTAGTGTGCTTATTTATTAACGAACGATTTTTTAATCTTCAACACTAACGATATAGTATATGGTAGCAACTCTAAATACTAAGTAAATAGCTTAAGTATCAGTTGTGCGTTTCTAGTCGGTGAATAATTTTCAGTTGGTTCGTCCAGTTTCACTCATTTTAGTTTCCATAAATTTTATTTATTGTAAACAGAGTTGGATATTGATTATCAGTTGAATTCAAAACGCTCATTTTGTTCTATTTTGAACTCTTCAATTGAATGTACTTGCACCTCAGAGTTGATGTTCACACATCCATTATAAGTTTTAGTCTCAAATGGAACAAAATCTGCGTCCTGGTTTCCACTACTAGCCACCGTCCTACTTTGCTTAAAAAATACTTGTGACTTAATAACAATATGCGATACCCATAGGATTCAGACATCCCCAAAAAGACTAATTAATGGCAGTCTTAAACATCGGTGAAAAGTTCCAAACAACCAGCGCAGATGGAATTGTATTTGGTGCGTTTAGATTATGGAAAACTATATACTCTTCTGGTAATATACTCTACATCTTCGTAATAGAAGGTTTTTAAACCTGTTATATCATGATTTTTGTTTATCCATTAATCTGTCGTGTACTGAGATGATGATAGCTAGCTAGTTGAAGATGCTTAATGTGTTCACCACTTCACACTTTTCTTTTCTACCTGACGAAACTACTTTCTCACTTTGTAAATAGTATATCACTAATTTTGACAATTCTTAGGTGTTGTTGTTTTCAGTTCTTGTATTTAAGTTGATCATTTTGTTCTCTTGTCCTCTGACCAGGTTGTTGATTGGCCACTTACAAATGGTTTGAGAGGCTGCATCTTATCCAAAGTGTTAAGTAATCACCGATTAATATAAACCCCATATTTTCAGAAATCCTGTCTTAGAATTACCTCAGTCGGTAAAAAACAACAGCGAGAGAAAATAAATGCAATATCATCTACAAAACAAAACTGTACCAACTGCAATAAACACTACACTAAACAAAGCGAGTAATCTTTACGTGCTCATATATGAACACAGACTATCAAGGAAACAACACGATATATTATCAATCCATATAGGCAAACGTAAACTGAATTAGGAAACTTCAAAATTCTGTACGTAGAAAATTCTAAGAACTCTAGAGAATTTCTTGAAGCATGATATTCTGGTCAATAACCATATTAACATAGATTCGACCCACCTACCCATATGAAAGAGCTTAATCAACCACATATTCAGAAGCCAAGAGAACATGATGACCAACTTGAATATAAGCACAAATGAAGACAATGAAACCCATAAAAACACTTTATCACAAATGAGAGTTCATTTAATAACTAAGAATCTCACTCCTACGTGGACTAAACCTTGATCTTGTTTGGAATGACAATGAAAGCTTCGCAACTAAACTATTTAGCTTAGAGAACTCAATGGCATCAACAACATACTTAGGATCTTTTCTTTAATATATTTTTTTAATAAAAAATAAGGTGCACTTTTAAAACATTCTATAAAACGATATCTAAATTCTGTCTATGTTTTAGTCATTAGTTTTAAACGAATTTATCGACGATCCTTTAACTTTGGTTCAGAAAATCTCTCCTTCCCTTTGCAATTTATCTGGACATATTGTCAATCCTAAACCACCAGTAAATTCTAAATGTGTTATTGATAATGATCTGTGTGATTTATTCACTACAGATGCTGAAAATGTTTCTGATCAAGTAGCTGGTAAAGCCACTGTAAGTATGGTTAAATCATTTCTTTTTATGAATTCATATGTATTCATGATTTATGGTCATTTTTCATATGTAGTAATTGAAAACGGAGCATAAGGAGGTTCTAAATGTGAACAAAACGTCTGTATATACTCCTACAAATTAAAGGCAATACATCTAGCGAAATGATAATAATAAAGTTCAACAGAGCAATCCAAAGAACCTTTAGTGCTAATAAACTACAATTAATGTTTTCTACATATCTGATGGTCACTTCAATATTGAAAGATAATTTACTTAAACTGCTCACCTCTTTCTGTATCTATTAACTCAACTGCTCTTGTGGAGAAAGTTATATTGGCCGGTATCCTAGAAATTTCTACTTTCGTGCTCGCGAGTACCTCCCAATGTAGTTAAGAAAAGGTAGATAGTTAAAACTGTTAACGGCCCAATTTTAGCTCATTCAGTACAAACGGGTCACACAGCGAACATGGAGCAATCATTTACAATGATATATCGTGTTGATAGCAGTCCTGAGCAGATTGCCTCGATTAATCGTTATTTCACAAGTTTTAGTATATTCGTTTTATGGTTAGTATTGGAATGTAAGACGAGCACTCACCCTACTTGCGATATGTCAGCTGGACGTATCTTCCTCCTCCCTCCTCAGTGTTGATGTTCATACTTGCATCCTGATTTCCTTGGTTAGCTACACAAAATATTTTAATACTGGTAGGCCTTGGAAACTCTATTCATTACCAAATATTAGAAAATTAAGTAACAAAATCTGGTGATCCCATATGTGCAATACTAACTTTTTCCATCATCTTTCAGATATTCAACACACTCACAGCGGGGGGCAATATTTATATTTTGTTATATTGCAAATATTGCTTCTACCAGTAACTTTACACATTCACTGTTTTCTCTAAGCAGTTGTAAAAGAGTGTTTATGTTTATTTTTCTAACTTTGTCCTTATTTATATTAGACTAATGAAATTGTCAAAGAAAATGTTATTGTGACAAACTGTCAGGATAGCGTGGAAAAAAACCAAAGAAACTCTCTACTAATCGATTTCAGTCTAAACTCTTTAAAAGAGATGACTGAGAACCTCTCCTTTTGGGATATATGTCAGTCGGGTGTAACCCGAGCATCCTTATTGTCAGTTACTGACTCAATAAGTCAGATAATTGATATAAAATCTAATTCAAATAATAATGATAGCAACAACTCACCATCCAATACAAATCCATCTGTTAATGTAACTTCAGACAGCTCTATGTGTACAGTGTCTACGAAACGTGTTATAAATGTACCTACTCAGCACTGGGGACCGGTTTGTGCATTTGATATTATTAACGATGATTTCTTTAATGTATTCTGGATACAAATCCTGTTAAATCAAAGTCGAACTAATCTGGAAGAGGCTGAGAGCAAACTAACTACTGGCAATTATTCTTATTCAAATGGTTCTGAAAAAACAGACATGCTTTTAAAATCATGCGATTTGTAAGTTGTGTTCAGTTACTTTACATAAATCACTTTTTTTTTCTTATCCGCTTCCTATAAGCTAAAACTACTTTAACATGTCTACTGGAATAATAGAGAAAAGATGTGAAATGCAAGTAAGAGTTTGACTCCAAAGTTAGTTATATACAGAAAATCGAATGTAATTATAGAATCTCGTGTTATCTTTGTTTTTTAGGCTTTTCTGTGTACATGCTGAATATGGTGAATAGGTGAATAGGTAATCAACAGTGACATATACCCCTTTGTTTCCCTGGATGTTTCTGAGAAGCTTTTATTTAATGTGGATTGAATAAAATATTTTCTTGAGTCTTCTGGAATTTTGACGAGGGTTATTTCAATACTTCTCAACACTAAGCTCTACTCCTCGAAACTTTATCCATAGTTTTCAAGAGCTTAACAATTAAGGTTTCATAACTGTCTATCACTAGTTTTTTTTCTACACGATCGATCGACTGATATCCAATTGTGATTAGAGTTACGTGCCGACGTACAATCCAGTGATATAATGTGTAATGTTTATTGGGTAACTTTTCTACTTTCTTCCCCCAAATGCCCTGGTACGGCCGAGAGTAGGGAGAGTCCGCTCTCCCTCTCGAAATGCTCTCACATGGCCACGCGAATATATAGCCTCTGTCAGAGAAGTCCTGCCTTCTCGTGGCGGGGTGTTGTTTACGAAATTGAGAGGACGAAAAGTAAATGTCCGGTTCTTTAACCGGGTTGGTGGACAAGGCGAGTCCACCTAGGGGAGTTGGAAAACCCTGATTCCAAACCAATGGTGCACATGGGCTCCAGTATCCTAAGGGAACAAATGGCGTACGAATCAATCGTCAGTCACCGGCTTCCATGGGACTGCATCTCCTCACGATGCTCCACTGCCCTGTGGACTGGACCTTCAGGTCAAAAGCTCCGGGTGTGGTCCCCTAAGAAAACCACCTGCTTCATTTTGGGCACCTGAGCAGTATCACAGCCCTCACACAAATCAAATGAGATTTGTGTGGCGCATATGTACCTGGTGCATCCTTGTACCAATATTTATGTGTTTAAATAAGTAAATAAATAACTACTAGTATAACTTATGTTTCAGTAAGTATATTTAGTGGGACGTTTGTTAAAAATGGTTATTCTTCCAAACTATTTATACTCGGAATAATCTCTTGAGTATAGAGCAATAAATAAAACGTACAATGAACGACAAATGCAACTTCCTAACTACAAACTATGATCTAAATTAATCGAATTATTCTGAATAGCAATATCAAGTCATTTAAAATAAAACAGAATATTTCACAATACAGTCAATAAATCGATTACTTTGAATTCGAGCTATATCTCACCCATTTGTAGCTCTAACTTTTAAAGTACGTAACTTTAGACTACTGGGTTGCGATTTGAAGTATAACTCCATCTTCTGCTGCCTTGATATCCATGTAGCTTTTCCACCTGAAGTGAAGCTCAATGCCCTGTTAAATTTAAGATAATCTCTGTGCTGACGTTTAAACGGTTATGCAGTACCATTAGTTCCCATAGTTACCTCTCACCGTCTAATATAAAGTTATGTGCATATTTATTTAAATTCATTTACCTTCAAAATCATATCACTGTCAGTCAATTTATTTCATGAAGCGTGAATATGTCTATACTAGAATTGTGTTTCTAAAGAATGTAAAAGGTTACAAAGTGTCATGATTACCAATTTTTTGTTTCTGGTAAATTAAACGATTCAAAATTAAACCGTTAGTTAGTTATATATATAACATAAAGAATTCATTTCCATTGATAGTGTCAGGCCGGCAAACAATAAATTATATAATAATTATTATTGTCGATAAACTAGACTGGATATAATTTTGTAAAATGAAGGTTTAAACATTGTACGCAAAGATGGATAGTGGCTAGCAGTAGAATCCAGGACGCGCATTTTGTCGTATTTGGGACTCGTCAGCTGGATGTACCTACATCTCAGAGTTGATGTTCACTCTGAGACTCGAACCCAGTATCTTTCGCTTCAAATACCATCGCTTTATCCACTCAGCTACTGATTCCTGATAGCCACTCGCTTGTGCAATAGTGTGAAGTTTACATTCACTTAGTATTGTTTGTTTGAATCTTCCCATTGATGTTTAGGACTGCAATTGGTCGGTCTCTAATTGGCATATGTGCATATCGATGCATTACACACAGTATGCACATACGTTAATTAGAAACTGACCAATTGCAGTCCTAAACGTCAATGGGAAGATTCAAACAAACAATACTAAGTGAATTTGATGGTTTAAACACTTGTTATACTATTGAGTATAATAACCGTTGGTTATCTGCTTCGATTGAAGTAATTATATCAATATGATGGCAAAAAATAGTATCCTTTTCACAAAAACCTACACTTTTCAATGGTCTAACGTTCAGTCAAGAAATGATACGTGTTTTCAGTATATTTTATTGAGTATTCATAAAAGGATATATTCTTTTATCAAATTTTCTAGTTAAAAATACCGAAACGTTTTCAACACTATTTTTACTATACCTTGTGTATATCATAAATTGTAGATTTCATTAAAGTTAATGTTCGTTTTCGTTCTGTAATGTCTATTTAGAAGTCAAAGTCTTTCATTGTCGAAATGTGTCAATGATTTGAATCGTTGTGGAATCGGTACCAACTGTCATGATCATTTAAAAACATTGGCTTGTGACTATTTACCAATCTTGCGTTTATTAGCTTCTGGTGAGAATTCTAGACAAATAGTTTCCACTAAAAGACGGTATGTTATTGTTGCTATACATTTATTGTGATATGATTTTTGAATAACTCTATGTTGTGTTTTTCCTTATTATGTCGAATTGAATTAACTGTCAACAATGGTTTTCAGCTAACTGATATAACTTATGTTCATTTGTATCTAGAATGTGTTACTAACTTTTTCGTATGATAATCAACTTTGAATGGATTCATATTCTATTTTCACCTAACTATTACGTATAACCAACCAACTAACTACCTTGATGCATGATATTTGCTAGTGTACTAGTATGTTGGAAGTAAGTTGAGGGTGGCGAATTCAAGACATGGGTGTAGTCCATGAAGTCATTGACTGTTGGATGAATCGTATCAGTGGGTAGGTACTTATTTAGTTGCTATCTTCGTAATTCTGGTAAATAATAGTTCGAGATGTTGAATAGTATGACTCAGAGTTTGTCTCGATGGCCCAGATCCATTCACTCTTTATTCTAAAATATTTATATTTTTATATTACAAATTTATTATTCTAGAACCATATTTTATATCTCTATTCTTTTCTACTACCGTGTCATTTGTTTTGATAATTGCATTTTTATGGGGTTAATGTGGTGTAGCAACTTAAACTTTTGTACATATGTACCACGCTCTATGTCGGATACTTCTGACTTCCCTCAACTCTTCAGTTTCAATATCCATACATTTTATTCTTTATGTTTAATCCTTTCATTAATGGTGCTATTCTTTTGACTCTGTCCATACTCTTCTTGTTAATTTCATCTCACGTTATGTTAATGCAATGTGTAAAACTTATACTGATATATATTTTTCCCAGATCATACGTTGATTGACCGACTGAATGTTATATTCTGTGTTAAATATCTAAATGCAAATAATTACCGTTATTTGCCTTCGAACCACATTAAGTGTGAGGGTTAATGATACTACCTGTTCACCCAAACCGAATTAGGTGAAGTGTAATTTTCAAACATGCGATTTACTGGATGAAAACTATATATATATATATATATATATATATATATATATATATATACCTTTTGGTCTGATCTTGTATAATTGTTATTTTCTATTTATGGTATAACGTTGTCTGGTTTATTTGTATATAAACCCAGTATGTCTGAAATATACTATTCGTGTAGCTGAAGCTGATATTGACGTTCTGAATTGAACCGGCTGGGTTAAGAGAGGAGCTATTATCTCGGAGGACCAGTAAGAACTCTAAGATGCTCGTACAGGTTTATGTATCATTGGTCTGGTCGTATAAGTCGGTGTCTCCAATTGGCGATCGTATCACGTGATATAATTAATCGGGTATATAGGGATGTAACAGTAAATACTTATCTAATTTATTTCTTCAAGTGGAAGAAAACTGTTGACTAAAAGATAGATGTGTAAAGTATCTATACACCATTTTTCTCAACTTTTTTAGACATTGAATAATATTACCACCACTAAATTAACTACTTCTATGAATCCGGTGTTCATCTTGTTGTGCTAACGAGGTATGACAACTTGTGCCTGGTCCTACGTTGTAGCTGACTGACCGACTCTATTTAATTTACAGTAATAACAGTTTTGAAATTTTTTTTCAAAGTAACATATTCAAATATCTTTTTTCTATTTTCTCTCTCTCCCTTTGTCTTTTTCTATTGAACAGCTTTTTACATTATTTTGACCGGATATCATTGTTCCTGAGTCCATCCACTAGAGAATTCTTATCGAAATCATCTCTTCTTTGATTGCGCAATCATTTTCTAAATTCTACACAAAATAGTTTCTTTTTGATAGATGATTACTCGGAATAGATTGTCTTGTCTTGTCCTATTTTTTTGTTTTTACATTATTTTTCTATACTATACTGATATTTTGTTTATGTGCATTTATGTATCTCTCTTCTTTTTGTTACCGATTTAGTAGTATGTTCATTTTGTTTTTGTAATGTTTTTTTGTATGTGTTTCCTTTCTTTTTGTACATTTTATCAGGATATAGTAATTATTAAATACCTTTCATTGTAAAACATTTTTATTGATTGATTACATTGTGTACTATTGTAACTAAATGTATGATAGGTATCAATGCTAAGGTTTGAATTTGATTGTTTCAAACAAATTGAACATTAGTTGGAAAGTTAATAATGAATGTTCTTTTTTTGTTACATCCCTATGAATAGACAAATTGTATTTCTGACGTTTTGTGACCTAATATAAGCAACTTTTTCAGAGCAACTCATCAAGATATAACAAAAGAAATATATTATTAAACGTGTGATAAGATTATCTATTCTTTTTTTCTTTTGAAAAATATAACTGTTATATCCTACTGAGTTTGTAGATATATTGTTAGATAAGGTTACTTAGATAATCAGGCAAATTATTTAAAACAATTATACTGTTTTATAGAATAGGAAAAGATTGATTGTTAAAAGCATTTTAAGTTTATCCATATAAATGAATTGAGAAAATATTTTATATTTCGATAATGCAATGAGAAGACGAAGATTATCAGAATTATGTGATATATTAGCGCAATACATTTCGAACAATCTGATCACACATATACTTGTTAAGACATTTTTTATATGAAAATTAAAAGGTCAACTAGACAGGTTAAGGTAAGAAAATAAATAAAGTACACATACCTAAATGGCTACAGAACCAAATGAATTCGAATAGTCAAATAAGATCACAGGACAGACAAACATCTTCCTCTATTGCGAAACATTTAGTTGAAACTGGTCATAAGGTTGACATCAAATCAGCATTTGTAGTGTTGTACAAAAGCCTTCAAGGACGTATACTAAGGTTTATTGAAGCCTTGGCTATACGGAAATTGAAACCCCCTTTATGTGTTCAAAAACAATTTGTTCTTACCCTTAACCTACCCTGGTAATGCTTATTTATTATCCAGAGTAGTCATCACTTTGTTTTTGTGTACTTTATTTATTTTCTTACCTTAACCTGTCTAGTTGACCTTTTAATTTTCATATAAAAAATGTCTTAACAAGTATATGTGTGATCAGATTGTTCGAAATGTATTGCGCTAATATATCACATAATTCTGATAATCTTCGTCTTCTCATTGCATTATCGAAATTTATCAAAGGGACTAATTGTTTTAAAATATTTTATAGTTTTTTTTAAAAGTAATTTTGTAAAATTAACATCGTCGATAATCTCAGTAAGAAAGTCTAGTTATTAGAATTAACAATTGTTTCTATGATGTCTTTGAAATGTTGTTACGATTTGAAGGAATTTTGCAAAAAAAACCTAAGTAGAAATATTTGATTGTTGATAGGATATGCTGGGGGAAGACATGACCTCTCTCTAGAAATGCTCTCACACGGCCACGCGTATACAGCCTCTACCAGGGAAGTCCTGCTCACTGCTTTCTCGTGACGGGGATATTGTTCACGAAATTGAGAGGACAAAAAGCGAATGGCCGGCGCTTTAACCGGGTTGGTGGACACGGTGCGTTCATATAGGGGAGTTGAAAAACAATGCTGCACATGGGCTCCAGTATCCTGCTGAGGGAACAAATGGCGTACGAACCAATCGTCAGTCACCGGCTACCATGGGATTGCATCTCCTCACGATGCTCCACTGCCTTGTGGATCAGACCTTTAGGTTGAAGGCTCCGTGTGTGGCCCCTTAAGAAAACCATCTATTTCGGTCTGGGCACCAGTATCGTAGCCCTCACACAATTAAATGAAATGACAATTTTCTGTATGGCCCATATATATCTGGTGCCCCCTTGTACTAATATTTATGTGTTCAAATAAATAAATATCTACACGATAACTATGAATTCATTCATGCATCCGTACATATTAAAGGATCGATTTCATTGACTAAAATTATATCGAATTTGATAAGCAAACACTGAATTGGATTTCTACTATCCAAGATGACTGATTTTATTCACTATATGAAGATTATTCTGATAAAAAAGAACGAGATCTAGTCACTGTTTGGTAGAATTTTTGAAATATATATAGGAGAGTAACCACTTTTTAGGGAATGTCAATCGCCATATTTAAAAAAAAAATTAATGTTCAAAACTTTTGTGTTTTAAAACATTAGGTAGATCATTCTATCCAGATCACATGGTCGTTTATCTTCAATGTCTATGTAGATTTTGCTATGAAGAACTCACAAACCCAATTTGCTTCATTTCCATCTATTTTATTCATTGTTTAGCTTATTTTAGTGTTATAAGTTTATCGTAGAAGTGGTTCTTTAATTTAATATCTTGATAAATCAATGTCTCAACTACTAAATTTGAAGGAGTTAAATGGACAGATATCAAATACTCCCCATGAGTGAGTCATCAGTAGCGTTGCTATTATTTATTAAGTGAGAATTGTGTGCTATGTATTTGTTCCTTGGAATATCGTTACACATTCTTTTACGATCTTTCAATAGTAAGTTCTTGGTCCTCTGTTTAGTATAAATGTACTGATGACGGCTATCTAAAATAGTCTCTCGAGATTGTCTGAAAGATTTTATTTCTGAATAAACCAACTTCTGAACTGAATTTTAATATCGACTTCGTTGTCAGTGTCACAATCCATAATAATCTCTATTCGTGTTGTCAGTGGAATGAAATTTAAGGTCAGGGGATAGAAGGGCTATGTCATCTGTGAATTGCAAAACGTCTAGTTACATCCAACCTATCTTGTATTCCGTGTTCCCCTGAGATTTGGAGGTTTTCATAATCCAGCCTACCACCAGAAGAAAAAGAAAGGGAAGAGTAAGAAACCTTATCTGACTTCAGTCCTCACTTGGAATGCGTCACAAGAATAAACTGGAAATAAAATCCGATTACATTTTGGAGTTCAGGTTAGAAAAATAATCTAAACGATTTGACATGCTGAATTCCACTTCTAATCGGTTCTTACTTTATTTTTTTTGTGGCGGTAAGTTAATTCACAACTAATATTCATAAAATTAACTCATATTTACAAGATTCTCATTAAAAAAACACTTTTAAGATGGTAGAATTTACTCTCAACTGAAATACAATTTGTATCAACAATTCAGATCAAACTAAACTGAAGGTCACAAATAAAGCCTTTTCACTAAGAATAAAGATAAGTTCAAATTAAACATGTAAGTGGAAATGTATTATTTGTCCTTTACAGTTCACCAGTTAACTAATTGCTTGCCGTTTATGATTTTATTACACCCTCGCTACAACAACTAGGAAACCCGATTGACTTACCGACGTGAAAAAAAGAATTTATATAAAGAAATGTAAAATTGTAATGAAAAGATCTAATGAACGGAAAGGGATATTTCCATTTAACTATACTGATAAAGCAGACGGACACAGTAGTTTGTTTTATACATGCAAGCAGACATTTGTTGCAGTCCATTCATGTTCATGTGCTACAGTTGGATTCACTATGGTTTATCATGGGTAGAGTGTACAAGCAATACGGTCTACCTGTAGTATAATTTCAATTTCCTACCATATTCAGAAACTTTTATGCAATCCAAATCGCTGGTGAGCTATTTAATGAATGCACCAGCATAGAATGTGGAACTATCTCCCAAGTATATTGTATATGTATATATGAAATGCACATATCAGAGACATACATTCTAGTGATACACACAGGCATAAATGGGCGTGGTCGCTAGTATGCGTTACATGCAATCACATAATGCATAGACATGTCTATAGCTTCCGCTCGTAAGTGTATGTCACTTGCATATAGGGTGTACAGTCCGAGACCCATACATTCCATACTAAACACATAGGTTAAATGCGATCACCCCAGACTTTAGCCCAGCAGCCTCCAACACTGAACGAATAACAGGTAATCAAATCAATTCGCAAATAAGTCGTCGCAGGCGATGTCCCCCTTCATTCTCATAGCACAAGCAAGTTTGGTGTCGACCACTGCGCACTGGCTACGGCACAGTTTGTGGTCCACGCTCTCCCCGGCCCCAGTGAGACCTAATGGTTCTATTCAGAGATAATCCGGACAGAGACCAAGAGGGAATTTCCCTTTTCCTTGTAGAACCACATTTATCTTAGCAAAACTTTTACTTTAACCTATATATGAGACAGAGTGGAGGATTAGCCCAACCTTCACCTTGTCACTAGCATTAGCTCATTGTGAAAGTGTGCCCTACTATACGAGGAGCACTACGGAGACGTGCGAGTTGGTCTTTGCCTTTCATTATGTATGATATACTTTTGAACACTACAAGTACTTGAGGGACAATCTCCCGAGGAGGTATAGTATCTCTCATGAAGGGCAAATTGCATACCTAAGACTCTTATTCAGTCAGTCAACTTTCTGGAATATAGAACGTAGCACGTATATGCATCTGTTCAGATGACCGCAACATATTAGCTCAGCATGACGAAAATATTAAGATAAATCTCCGAATAGAAGTAGAATAATATCAGTAGCAGTAGAAAACACTTGGTATGAGAATGAAAAGAATTGTAAGAACGTTTTCAAACTGAGGGCCTAAAGGAAGACAAAGAGTGAATGCATCTGTCTCATTGCGATCGATTCTGAGCCATGTCACTCAGTCTTCAACTACTGGTTACGGTAATCAAGCGCACTCTAACCAGGCAGTCTTTGCATACCTAAATGCTCTAGATCAACAGTTAGTTACTTTATGAACTGGTGCTATGTTATTGATTCAACTATCCCTTGCTTTCTTCCACACCACTTCACCACTTCAGATAACATCGCCTGTCAGTGTTTTGGTACAGGTAATGTGTGTCTCGACTAATTCATTTGGTCAAGGTTCTTATCAAACGATTTACAATGCTTACTTATTACACTGTGGCTAACCTTATCATCCTTCACTCGGTGTTCACAACTTACATGTACAGTGCTTCGAAGACACCTACAATCAAATACTAATAACCTGTTCTTAATAGCCATGTTGTACATTTATAAATTAGAACAGAAAGAACTTCTATTCAATCCTTTGGTTGATAAACTGATATCTCACACGCCACAAGTGAGACCTCGTGGTGAAAGCTAATCTGGCTTTCTGAATCCATACCGGTATTTCATCAGAAACCAACCCTCTAAATCAGATAAGACTTTCAGGATAAGTCAAGTGGTGAATTCCTACAATGCCTATCATGGGTTTAGGCGTTGACAAAAGCAGATAGATCCTGAAGGGATACTTTTCATTCCTATTGATACCTGGTGATTAATTTACTATTTGTAAATACAACAAAATGTTTTTTGTGATTCTTTTATCTGAACATTTCCGATTAATTTCGTTAATGCAACATTCATATTTTAATTATATTGAGGATGACATTCACTTGGTATTGTTTGCTTGAATCTTACCATTAACGTTTATGACTGAAATTGATCAGTCTCTTATTGGCATATGTGCATACTGTGAGTATTGCCTCGATATAGCCTTAATTCACAAGCATTATAAGGCTATATCGAGGCAATACTCACAGTATGCACATATGTCAATTAGAGACTGACAGGTTGCAGTCCTGAACATCAATGGTAAGATTCAAACAAACAATACTAAGTGAATTTAAACTTCACACCATTGCATAAGCAAGTGGCTATCAGGAATCAGTAGCTGAGTGGATAAAGCGATGGTATTTGAAGCGAAAGATACTGGGTACGAGTCTCAGAGTGAACATCAACTCTGAGATGTAGGTACATCAAGCTGACGAGTCCCAAATAGGACGAAACGCGCGTCCTGTTTTCTACTGCTAGCCACTATCCATGTTTGCTTATATATTGAGGATTGTGTATAATTTTTAAGAAAATGTGGACGTTTAATGCATAAACTTATATTTATTAGAATGCAGTTGAAATGTTGAACGTATGTGTTAGCTATTTCTTTATCAATTCAAAGAATTCTCATCAATGAATTGCTTTTATTGGTTCATCAAATAACACAAGTTACTAATAAAAATCATCTGAAACAACTGTTGAAACATCTAAATTAACTTTTTTAAATGAATACTCGATTAATTTTCAGGACATCTTCGTATATTTTATTAGTTGAGATTATGATTCGATTGAAGCTAGACCATCATAGAAAACCTGAAAGCACTGTTCGACCGTTTCATCTTATTGTTGGACTCCTCAACAGTGCTCATCCACGATCCCGCATTGCGAGATTCAAACTCGGGTCCTATTAGTCTCGCCCACGATCACCCAACCTCCAGACCACTGATCTGGTCATCATCCAAAGATGTTAATATCTAACTTCAACAAATCTACGAAATTGAGCGACATATCCACCATTGTCTTCAGTGAGTTACTATCTCACAACAGACCTGGTTGAACTCCACTGATCACTGATTCTCACTAGAACTTCAGGAAATACCTCCTGAAGCCAGTCACTTTTTCATTTATATTTGAATATTTTAAATAAAACAATTTACTATTCACTTAATTAATCTACTACATTTCAATAATTTTATTTGTAATATGACACTTTTTTTCGATTATACCATAACGTCATTCATATGATTTAAAGTACTTAGACTGTATTGACCCGAGTTTCTAATACCTTTTATCATATTCTGCATATGTTTTCACACACACAAAAATGTGAAAAAAACCCACATACAATGATCAAATTAGCATTTTTTTTTCCTTTTCGGCATATACATGTATATAGATACGAATAAGTTATTCACTACCCTACAGGTATATATGTTTTTTGTATTTTTTTTTCAAAGAATAGAATTACATTCTTCAGACATTTTATAGTCTCTATTATCAAAACTAAATTTGTCAAGTTTGATTTAGGACACAAATCAATAAACATATGTTGTTTACATGTAATTATGGTAACCTCTCTCTCTCTCTCTTTTGTATATCGCATATATATATATAAAGTTCATAATCCAGGCACCAAAATATATTTCTCACCAAAAACCAATTAGAATCTTAGATATATAAATGAAATCTTCTTAAATACTTTTTGTTTATTGCTTATTTGATTTTATTACATAACATAATCATCATCATCATCGTCAAAGAAGGTATTACATAATCACAATGGATATATCAAATCCTTCAGAGAAATCATCTTCCATAATACCTTTATCATTCACATCGAATCAACATAAAATTAAACGTTTAAAATTATTACAAGAATTAGAAAATCGTAAATTTCAATTAAATTATAATCGTTTAATAAAAGAACAAAATAAAATTTATAAACAACTTGATATACAACGTTTACAATTTACTAGAAGATTATCTGAAACAAATTTCATCTTAGAAGATTCATCAAAATTGGATAATCTAGATTCAAAGAAGATAAAACAACCATCTATACAGAATGATGATCATGGTAATTCAAATCGTCGTTTACATTCACAAGATAATATTCATGAAAAAGTTTATACAAATCAACCATTTTGGTTACGTTTACGTTCATTAGGTGTACCATCAGATGAAGATATATTATTAGCTGCATTAACATGTAAAAATATGAATATTAATAATAAAGTAGAATCTGATGTTATTGATGAAGACGATGTATTTGAATCAAATTCTAAATCATCAATAATAAAAAATTCAAAAAATATACAAAAACAACGTTCATCTAGTGTAACAGGAGCTGATGAATTCTATAAAAATTTATCCAAACCTCATTATAATAATTATAATCATCCTATAAAACGAATAAAACGTTCATTAAGTTTAGAAGAACAAAAACCTAATTGGTTATTAACATTAAATCAATTAAAACGTGAAAAATTATTACGTAATCAATCAAATACACAAGAAGAAATTACAGCACTTGTTAGAGGTAATAAATTTTATAATAATAATAATAATAATAATAATAATAAACGATCCAATATACTTACTATAAAATATCCATCACGTAATGATCGTTTAATTAAATCACATAGACATACTATTGTTGGTATAACAAATGAATTAACACCAATATAATAAATAAAAACCTTATTGAGAGTAATAGTCTTCTTTTCTTTTTACAAATAATTCATGTTTTTGTTTCATTTAACTGAGGTTCATTGTTTTCTTGTAATATTTACTATTTTCTATAAATTGTAGTAAGTTCCTTTTTTTTAATGATATATTCAGTATAATCTAATAAATATATATCTTTGTATTTAGTTGAATGGTTGTTTTTTTTTCTTGGTACGGAACACCACAGCAATGAGTATCTACCATCTTCCACCCGGAAACCAAAGCCAAAACTTTCGGTCTCGCGAGTGAACGCCTAATCTCTGGTACACTAAAGTGGGATCCATTGGTGTACATTTATAACTCCAATCAATTTCGGGTGTTTCAAATTTATTATTATTTGTTATTTAAACACATAAATATTGGTACAAGGGGTCATCAGACACATATGCGCTACACAAATCTCATTTGATTTGTGTGAGGGCTATGATACTGCCCGGGTGCCCAAACCGAAACAGGTGGTTTTCTTAGGGGACCACACCTGGAGCTTTTGACTAAAAGGTCTGATCCACAAGGCAGTGGAGCATCGTAAGGAGATGCAGCCACATGGTAGCCGGTGAACAACGATCGATTCATACGCTATTTGTCCCCTCAGGATACTGCAGCCCATGTGCACCATTGGTTTGGAATCAGGGTTTTCCAACTCCCCTGAGCGGACTTTTCGTGTCCACCAACCCGGTTAAAGCACCGGACACGTGCTTTTCGTCCTCTCAATTTCGTAAACAACACCCCCTCCACGAGAAGGCAGGACTTCTCTGACAGAGGCTATATATTCGCGTGGCCATGTGAGAGCATTGCGAGGGAGAGGGTGTGCCTTCCACACTCTCGGCCGTACCAGGGCGTTTCGGGGGCCTTATCATCTGTATGGGAAGTTGTAGAGATTGTAGTATTTTAACAGTTGAGTTCACTAGTCAGTCTAAGCAAGATTATTGGTGAAACACTGGACGGCCATCTTGTCATAGTATAGAATTCCTCAGTAAAGCGCACCTGGGTTAAAGTCTCACGTGCGAAGTTCTGGATGCGCACTGCTGAGGAGTCTCATATTAGAACGAAACAGATGTCCAGTTTTTCACTGATGATCTAGCTTAGATTAACTCGTGAATTCAACTGTTAAAATTAATTATTTATATTAGATATGAATCGATTAATTAATATGAAAAATAGTTTTTTTTTCTTTGTTTTACTCAAATTCAATGATGCTATCCGTTAAAATAGTTGAGTAATTTATTATGTAATTACATTTACATACTATATTTTCATGATATAGCAGTAAGCTAATATTTTGATTAATAATTTAGACTGATTGTCAGTAGTAGCTTAGTGGGCTTTCTATAAAACTTAATATGAATTGAGTAATCATTGAGAACTAAATTAAATCTAAGATTTGTTCTCAAACTCAAATCAATTGACCAGGTTACATATATACGACTGATTTGAAATCTGTAGAAGAATGGTTCAAAATACGGCTCACCAATTTTGTTGAGGATTAATTCCTCTATATCTGACTCCAATAAATAAATAATATCCCGCTAACTGATTATTTACTGCAGGCTAAATCTCCTAGTAGAATTACGGGTTTACTCGAGATTATTCAAAAGCCTGAACACCAGTTGTAGAGATAGTTTATTGTTGAAGCTCGGTAAAAATCCACAAGCGTACAGATAGCAAGCACATCGAGAAAACAAGTGTGTGTGTGTGTGTGAGTGTTAAAAATCCATATATATTTTTGAGTGTTAATGGATTATGGATAAATTATTGATTGTCTTCGTTCACAACCAATGAGAGAACAGAATAAGTATTGATGTGCAGACACACGCGCTCAATCAGACTCACACATAAATTTACAAAGTGGATTAATGTTAAGATTACAGAGAGCACACAAATAATACAGTAGTTGAATGGGCTTGCTACATAAGCTCCCATCCAGAACGTAGATGTTTTTTTATAAAAAAGATTTTTTTAATTACATCTATGTTCGACAGGTTTTCCATGGTAGTCTAGCTTCAATTGACTCATGATCTCAACTCTATAAAAATACTAAAATCTCCACAAAACCCCTTCTGATGATAAAAAAATTGTTTATAAAATAAATGTACAATCCGATGTGATGAGTAAGCGTTAAGTTGTAATAACAGTTTGTATGTGTTGAAACGTTTTATGTATGTGTATAAGGATTGCTTGAAGTTAAAAGTAAGTATAATGAAAATCCGTGGGGCCAATAAATAACAGTTAATAAAAATAGAGAACAATTTGTAACATTTGGGCTAGATAAGTATGGTTGTTGCTACGTTCCTATCTGGAAAGTGTACTCTCCTTCCTGATCTTGTAGTAGTTTCTGTAGCTGTTGAACTTCCGTATGAAGTATTGTTACAGGTGGTTTGTGTAGTGCTTGCTTTGATGCGGATTTGGATGGTTTTGTTGTCTGCTTCTCGATGTGCTCTGAAAACGCTGGTTTTATTCTGTCGATGCTAACAGTAGCATGTTTACCAGCTTTTTCTACTGTAATATATTGGCAGTTTATATCATGAATTAAGAAGGTATTAATATTTAATCTAGATAGTGCATCTGCTGCATCGTTTTCCATGCCCTTTATGTAGCGTATGTCAGCTGCAAATTGCGAAATGAATTCTAGTTGACGAATTTCACGTGGACTGTATTTATCGTGGTTTTGCATCAAGGATTTAGTTAGCGGCTTGTGATCAGTAAATATTGTAAAAGAATTGCCTTCTAACATATACCGGAAGTGTTCGATTGCTAAATAGACGGCCAACAGTTCTCTACCGAATGTGCTATATTTTGTTTGCGTCGCATTTAGCTTTTTTGAGAAAAATGCTAGGGGTTGCCAATGTTGATTGACGCGTTGTTGAAGTACAGCACCTACCGCTACATTAGAGGTGTCGGTCATTATTGCTAAAGGTGCGTTAACCTTCCGTCGGACCAGCAATGCCTCAGTGCTTAATGCGTTTTTCAACTGTTCGAAAGCTTGAATTGCTTGCGGTGTCATCATTAGTGATTTAGCGCGTCCCCTTAATAAGTCCGTTAGCGGTTTTGCTATGTCAGTACATTTCAGAATAAACCGTCGATAAAAGTTGATCATCCCAAGGAAACGTCGTAGTTTCTTGAAGGAGTCAGGTAAAGGATAATTTTTAATGATTTGTGTTTCCTCAGGAACCTGTCTAATACCTTGATTGTCGAGTAAGTGGCCTAAAAATGTGAGGGATTGCTTTCCAAACTCGCACTTGTCGAGATTGACTGTTAACCCATACTCGTTTAGCTTCTCAAAAAGCAATTTTAGATGAGTTAGATGTTCGTCTTCGTCTTTGCTGGCGATAAGTAAGTCATCTATGTAAGCATATACAAACGGTAAGCCACGCACGACTTGATCAATAAAACGTTGGAAACTTTGTGCAGCATTCTTCAACCCAAAAGGCATGCGAACGAATTCGTATAACCCAAATGGGGTAGTGATGGCTGTTTTAGGAACATCATCTGGGTGAATTGTGATGTGATGGTAGGCACGGACGAGGTTAACTTTTGAAAAAATCATTGCATCAGATAGACTGTGAGTAAAGTCATGTAAGTGTGGAAGCGGATATCTATCTGGTATAGTCCTGCTGTTAAGAGCTCTGTAATCGCCACAAGGTCTAACCTCAGAAGAGTTTTTTTTAGGTACCATATGTAGCGGTGATGCCCATGGACAATCGGAGGGGCGTATGATACCCAACTCTATCATTTTGTTGAACTCATTCCTTGCGAGAGCCAGACGAGAGGGGTCAAGGCGTCTTGGACGTGCAAATACTGGTGGTCCCTCTGTCTTAATGTGATGTACGACAGTATGTGTCAGCTTGTCACGTTTGAAACACGGTCTTAATAAGTCTGGAAACTGTCTAAATAAATTGACGTATTTGTCATTCTCGCGATGGGGTCTGACCAATAAATGTATAGACTTCTCATTAGATAGAATTCCTTTGATTACGCTGCTGTGATCGGCAAGTACCAGTTTCCGGTTTCTAACATCTACGAGTATTTTATGTGATTGCAGGAAATCGACACCGATTATGGGAACAACAACATCAGCTATGATGAAGTTCCATGAGAAGTTGGATTTAAGACCGAAATGCAATTGTAAATGTCTTTTACCGTATGTCTTAATCTCGGATCTATTCGCGGCTCTTAGTTTCAGTATGAGGTCAGGTGTCTTTTTCTCGAGTGCAGTAGGTGGTACTACACTAACCTCTGCCCCTGTGTCAACTAAGAACTGTGTTCCGGTTCTTAAGTCCGTGACATATAACAAACGACTGTCCTGTGAGTTGTGGCCGGAGACCGCAGTCGTAACTAATCATCGGCCTTGATGTTCCCTTTCCCGTGTGCTTGCATAATTGCACGGAGGAATACACTTTTTAGCTTGTTTACCGAACGTTTTATGGTACCAGGAAATGTTATGTCGGATGGTGCTTGGAATACGACGTGTACGACTTTTGGACCTTCCTCTACTCTTGCAGTGGTGTGCATTCGAAAGTTGGAGCTGAGCTATCTGCTTAGTGAGGATTTCGACTGTCTGCCGTAACTCGGCGATCTCTTTGGTCAAGTTTGTTTGTACGTGTGATCCCGAGTGAGTCCTGGTCTTCTCATAAATCCGATCGGCTATGTCTGCCAGCTTGTCAAAATCGACGTCCTCGTCTCCAATCGCGAGTATCTGCTGTATGTTTTGTGGGAGGCGTCTGAGACAGAATTGATATAATAGACGTTTATCAACTATACGATTCCCTAAAACACTTGTCATATGGCGTTTTAATTGGGAAGGTGTGTTATCACCTAGCTCTACATTCAGCAGACTTGTAGAGAGATGGTGCGCGTTCAAAAAGCGGATCACAAACTTTGTGGGAAAATGGTGCGTGTTCAAAATGCGGCTCACCAACTTTGTAGAAGAATGGTGCGTGTTCAAAATACGGTTCACCAATTTTGTTGAGGATTAATTCCTCTATATCTGACTCCACCAGCTAATCTGAGGCTTATCACAACAACTCAATCGATCTCAGTTAACCCTATCAAGTCTCCAAGACCGATTCAGTCCAAATCCCACTGTATTTACCAATTCACATGTAACTGCGGAGAAAGTTACTTAGGTAGGACAGATCGCCGATTGGAGGACAGG